AGAGAACAGAGAGAGACCAGAGAGAGAGAACAGAGAGAGACCAGGGAGAGACCAGAGAGAAACCAGAAAAAGAAAAGGGAGTGACCAGAGAGACACCAGAGAGAAAGACCACAGAGAGAGAGAGAGTTTATAATATGGCTCTATTATCCAGGGATGCATTGATGGTGGATTTTTTCTTCAATACCGATGTTAAAAACAAAATCTTTGCCAATAGTCAATGTTTGGCCGTTGTTCTGCTGCAGAGTCTGAGTCTGAAACAACTCTGTTCTCCACAGTTTGAGATCAATCTGAGCCTTCAGTAAAAATACATCTTTTCTTTAACTGCAGTTTGGTAATAATTGTGTCGCTGTTTCACTGAGATTAAAGCTTGTAGTTGTAGTTTGTCTCCATCTTATTAGAAAAAATGTGATCTTTTGTGTAAGAAAGAGCCCTGAGAGTCACTATTTGACTCTCTCTCTCTCACACACACACACACACAAAATGGAATGGAACATATAGACACACACACACACACAGACATTAACACATATAGACACAGACACATACTGTAGATGTACACGCACACACTCACACACATAAAGGCTTATATAAACCCACGCACACATATAGACACACACACATATACTGTAGATGTATACACACACTCACAAATGCCTACACACACACAAATACCTACACACCCACACACATACCTGTACATCCCACCAACAGCAGTTTTCTAAAACAAAACTATTGCCCCTTAATAAGTTTTGTCATTTTCTCAGGTGTCTGTGTTTGCAGCTCCCTCTGGTGGCAGCAGAGGGAGTTACAGGCAGAACACATTTTACTTTTCCCCTTCACACTTGTCTCATCACGTTGTCTACTTTATCATTTCAGATTCCAAAACATTGAGCCACAAAGTAGACATTCTGATAACGTGTGCGATGTGTCTTCCTTAAGGAGCACGTGGGATTCAGAACATCCAAAAGGCTCGTCTCCGCCGCGAGTGATGTTACATAACGCTGACCTCTGACCCCGCGCCCGGCCCATTAGTGCAGCGAGGCCCACAGATGGCTCCGGCTTTAAAAACTCCACAACCATGGCTTTAAAAACAGCACAATGACGGCAGATAAAGAACAGGTCGGAGTCTAATCCAGCCCAGTCACCTCAACAGAGACAGGCCCCGGGCCACATGGACCATCAGGGCGGACCATCAGAGCGGACCATCAGAGCGGACCATCAGAGCGGACCATTAGAGCGGACCATCAGAGAGCAGGACAGACACACGTGAAAAAGCTGAACTAAAGATGAGACAGAGGCCAGAGATGCATACATGTAGAAACTGGTGATAGAACCTCTCTGGTCTCTTTCTGGTCTCTTTCTGGTCTCTTTCTGGTCTCTCTCTGGTCTCTCTCTGGTCTCTCTCTGGTCTCTCTCTGGTCTCTCTCTGGTCTCTCTCTGGTCTCTCTCTGGTCTCTCTCTGGTCTCTTTCTGGTCACTCTCTGGTCTCTCTCTGGTCTCTCTCTGGTCTCTTTCTGGTCACTCTCTGGTCTCTCTCTGGTCTCTCTCTGGTCTCTCTCTGGTCTCTTTCTGGTCTCTCTCTGGTCTCTCTCTGGTCTCTCTCTGGTCTCTCTCTGGTCTCTCTCTGGTCTCTCTCTGGTCACTCTCTGGTCACTCTCTGGTCACTCTCTGGTCACTCTCTGGTCTCTTTCTCTCTGGTCACTCTCTGGTCACTCTCTGGTCTCTCTCTGGTCTCTCTCTGGTCTCTCTCTGGTCTCTCTCTGGTCTCCTTCTGGTCTCTCTCTGGTCTCCTTCTGGTCTCTTTCCGGTCTCTCTCTGGTCTCTCTCTGGTCACTCTCTGGTCACTCTCTGGTCTCTCTCTGGTCACTCTCTGGTCACTCTCTGGTCTCTCTCTGGTCTCTCTCTGGTCTCTCTCTGGTCTCTCTCTGGTCACTCTCTAGTCCCTCTCTTGTCTCTTGTGTTGAAGTCCGAGGGTCCTATGGCACGGTTGCCTTGCTTCTGTCAGTGTGCCCCAGGGCAGCTGTGGCTACTGCAGTAGTTTATCACCACCGTGTTTGGATTTAAGCGTCTTTGAATGTCCAAAATGCACTGTATACAACAATGCATCATCATCATCATCATCATCATCAACTGACTTTCTTGCATCAATATGGACAAATCAGAACAGCCCCAATCCAGTCACCACAGTTTTACTATCCCCTGATGACTCTAAGGAGCACAGGGACTGGCCTCCTGCTGGGACTCTGAGGAGCACAGGGACTGGTCTCCTGCTGGGACTCTGAGGAGCACAGGGACTGGCCTCCTGCTGGGACTCTGAGGAGCACAGGGACTGGCCTCCTGCTGGGACTCTGAGGAGCACAGGGACTGGCCTCCTGCTGGGACTCTGAGGAGCACAGGGACAGAGACAGGACTAAAATAATAATAAACTTGCCCTGGCCTTTTATCCAGGCAGTTCCTAAAAGCAGCCTCCAGCTCTGAGCGGATGTTCAAAGACAGAGACAGTAATCCAGGCCACTGCTTCAACCCTTTGTCCAGTGGTGCGGACCATGTGGTGAGGACCATGTGATGAGGACCATGAGAGGACCATGTGGTGAGGACCATGTGAAGACCATGTGGTGAGGACCATGTGATGAGGACCATGTGAGGAGGACCATGTGGTGAGGACCATGTGAGAACCATGTGGTGTGGACCATGTAGTGAGGACCATGTGAGAACCATGTGATGAGGACCATGTGGTGAGGACCAAATGTTGAGGACCATGTGGTGAGGGACCCATGTGATGAGAACCATGTGATGAGGACCATGTGGTGAGGACCATTGTTAGGACCGGTGTGATGAGGACCATGTGGTGAGGGACCCATGTGATGAGGACCATGTGGTGAGGACCATGTGGTAAGGACCATGTGGTGAGGACCATGTGGTGAAGACCATGTAATGAGGACCATGTGGTGAGGACCATGTGGTGAGGACCATGTGGTAAGGACCATGTGGTGAGGACCATGTGGTGAGGACCATGTGATGAGGGACATGTGATGAGGACCATGTGGTGAGGACCATGTGGTGAGGACCATGTAGTGCAGACCATGTGACTGCGGCTAAAGCTCCTCAGGATCATGGACCAGAAAGTGGATGAGCAGAGCACCATTTGCAGTGGATTATTAGTTACAGATGTCGCTCACACACACACACACACACAGATGTACGCACACACACAGACGCACACCACCCACCACCAGTCCTTGTTGTTGTTTTGAGTCTCAGCCGAGAGACTTTCACAATAAGATTCAACGAAAGCAACATATAATTTTACACACACACACACACGCACACAGACAAACACATTAGATAAAGCTGGTGTATGTAACTTTCAAACGTACAACTGTGGAACTATGTGATACCGTTGCTATAGTTACTGGCTCTAAAACTGTTTGCTCCTAATCACAGGTTTTTGTGTTTGAAGATTAAGAGACCAGAGCGAGACCAGAGCGAGCACTGAGACACACGCACTCTCTGTGTGTCTGTGTCTGTGTCTGCTGTCTCTCTTCTCTCTCTCTCTCTCTTCTCTCTCTCTCTCTCTCTCTCTCTTTCTCTCTCTCGCTCTCTCTCTCTCTTCTCTCTCTCTCTCTCTCTCTCTCTCTCTCTCTCTCTCTCTTCTCTCTCTCTCTCTCCTCTCTCTCTCTCTCTCTCTCTCTCTCTCTCTCCTCAACTAGAGATAGAAGAAAACTAACATGGATTATGACAACATGGTGGCTTCAAAGTTACACACCCCAGCTTTAAATCCTGGTTCACATGAACGTGGCGATGGTACCGATGCGTCTGGGTCACAGCCCACAGTGGCCCTGGTGTCAGAGGCTGGTTTGATGTGTGTTGCTGGTCCCTGTGTGTGAAGTGCAGATTTCAGATGTTCAGAAGGTCAGTGCTTTCATGTTCACGTCTGAAGCCGGTCCTCAAACACATGCTTTAAACCATTGTCCTCATTCAACACAGAACTCTCTCTGGTCTCTTTCTGGTCTCTCTGTAGTCTCTTTCTGGTCTTTCTCTAATGTCTTTCTAGTGTCTCTATGGTCTCTTTCTGATCTCTCTCTAGTCTCTCTCTGGTCTCTCTCTCTCTGGTCTCTCTCTGGTCTCTCTCTAGTGCCTCTCTGGTCTCTCTCTCGTCTCTCTCAGTGTATCTTTACTCATTAATGTTCTGTGATTATTTGAATTCCATGAACTGTGCTATACATATAAAGTTTTCTGTGGTAGTTTTAATTTGACAGAAACAAAACTACCACAAGAAAGATGAGACACACGCACACACACGCACACGCACGCACGCACACACACACACACACACACACACACACACACACACACACACACAATGTCCAATATTACAATGATTTTGTTGAAGCACAATTGTTGCCAAAAGCCACTGTCAAAATAATGTTATAGGAAGAGTCTGGAGATAAACCAGGACTGGACCAGGACAGACCCAGGACTAAACCAGGGTTAAACCAAGACTAAACCAGGACTGAAGCACTAGACCAGGACTAAACCAGGACTGAAACAGCACTAAATAAGGGGAAACATTGGATCAACATTTAACATGGACTAAACCAGGTCTGAAACAGGACTGAACCACGACTAAACCAGGTCTGAACCAGGACTGAACCAGGACTGAACCAGGACTGAACCAGGTCTGAACCAGGTCTGAACCAGGTCTGAACCAGGTCTGAACCAGGTCTGAACCAGGACTAAACCAGGACTAAACCAGGTCTGAACCAGGTCTGAACCAGGACTAAACCAGGACTAAACCAGACTAAACCAGGTCTGAACCGGGACTGAACCGGGACTGAACTGGGACTGAACTAAGACTGGACCAGGTGTGAACCAGGACTGATCCAGGTCTGAAGCGGGACTCCATGTACCCAAACACAGCCTCCTCATCATCGTCATTAAACCCCACTCCACAGAATCCCGCACACACACGCGCACCCCTCGCTTCACGCGCACGTTACCTGCGTGTCGCGTCACGGCTCTCAGTCCCGTGGCGAGCCCCAACATCAGCCCGGCCATGCACATCTGGATCCCGAACAGCGCCTTCCTCTTTCTCCTCCGCGGGCCTACCCTCCTGGTCCCTCTCCCGGGCCCTGCCGTGTCCAGGGCGCGGGCCATGGCGCAGTCTGCAGCGCGGACAGAGGCTCCTGTGGCGGCGGTGTGGAGCGGAGGAGCGCGTCTCCACTGGACGCGGCTGCAGCGGGATGTGAGAGAGGAGTGTGGCCGCCTGACTGTGCGTGCAGAGGGGAGGGGGGAGAGGGAGAGGGGTGAGGGTGGAGGGGAGGGGGAGATCCGGTGTGGGGTTTCACAACAAAGCGAAGCGCGTGGATCTTCAGTGGGCCAATGTTCTCTCTGGTCTCTCTCTGGTCTCTCTGGATCTATTTATGTATTTTATCTATTAGATTATTTGAATAGAGACAGTACACTTTACTCATCATAACTGTAAATGTGTCACTATTAGCTACAGCTAGTTTTCAACTGTGGTCCAGCAAGGTGGAAATGACAACACAAACATCTCTGGCTCTCTCTGGTCTCCCTCTGGTCTCTCTCGTCCCTCCCTGGTCTGTGTCTGGTCTCCTTCTGGTCTCTCTCCATTCTCTCTCTCTCTCTCCAGTCTCTCTCTGGTCTTTCTCTGGTCTCCCTGGTCCCTCTCATCTCTCTCTGGTCTCTCTCTGGTCTCTCTTCGGTCTCTCTCTTGTCTCCCCGGTCTCCCTCCGGTCTCTCTCTGGTCTCTCTCTGGTCTCTCTCTGGTCTCTCTCTGGTCTCTCTCTGGTCTCTCTCCGGTCTCTCTTTGGTCTCTCCCTGGTCTTTCCCTCTGGTCTCAGGGAACATCAATAAACTCACATATAAAAGTTATTTTTTTTAAATTAGTTAGTAGTTTTGTGGTATTGCTGTTATTATAAAGTCATTTGTTATTTGACAAGAAACAAAAATATTATATTTTTTTCTATACAACATGTCCCTCCATTGTGTCTTGTGTCTTCCTCTGGTCTCATTCTTATGCTCTTGACGCAGAGGAGCAGCGGCTCTGCTCTGAGCTCCTCCTGTGTGACTTAGCTCCTCTCCCTATCTCTCAGAAGCTCCCGGGATTTCGCAGACGTCACTCTGCCTCCAGCCCGAGGGAACATCCAGTGAAGAGACATGACACCCATACCTGGGTGTTCATCTGAACCACAAACTGGACTGGACTCATAACACCGACTCTACTGCTGAGGAGGCTCTACTACTGAGGAGGTTCTACTGCTGATGAGGCTCTACTGCTGAGGAGGCTCTACTGCTGAGGAGGTTCTACTGCTGAGGAGGTTCTACTGCTGATGAGGCTCTACTGCTGATGAGGCTCTACTGCTGAGGAGGTTCTACTGCTGAGGAGGATCTACTGCTGATGAGGCTCTACTGCTGAGGAGGATCTACTGCTGAGGAGGTTCTACTGCTGAGGAGGTTCTACTGCTGATGAGGCTGTGGTGTGGTCTGGAGCAGCAGCATCACAGAGAGGGACAGGAAGAAGCTGGAACATCAGGAAGTCCAGCTCAGTCCTGGGCTGTTCCCTGGACACAGTGCAGCAGGTGGGGGACAGGAGGGTCCTGAGCAAACTAACATCTATGCTGGACCATGACTGTCGCCCCCTGCAGGACACTCTCTCTGCTCTGGAGAGCAGCTTCAGTGACAGACTTAATCACCCTAGCAGTGTGAAAGAGAGGGTCCGCAGGTCTTTCTTTCCTGCTGCTGTCAGACTGTACAATGAGAACTGCTGAGCCAATAAATGTCATTCATCTGTAAATAAGTAAATATTGAAATCATGTGCAATGTGAAATACTGCAACTTCAGAACGCCTGAACACTGAACAGACCTCTGTCTCAGTATACATACAGACCTGTCTCAGTATACATACAGACCTGTTTCAGTATACATATAGACCTCTGTCTCAGTATACATACAGACCTGTTTCAGTATACATATAGACCTCTGTCTCAGTATACATACAGACCTCTGTCTCAGTATACATACAGACCTGTCTCAGTATACATACAGACCTGTCTCAGTATACATACAGACCTGTCTCAGTATACATACAGACCTGTCTCAGTATACATATAGACCTCTGTCTCAGTATACATACAGACCTCTGTCTCAGTATACATACAGACATCTGTCTCAGTATACATACAGACCTGTCTCAGTATACATCAGACCTGTCTCAGTATACATACAGACCTCTGTCTCAGTATACATACAGACCTGTCTCAGTATACATACAGACCTGTCTCAGTATACATACAGACCTGTCTCAGTATACATACAGACCTGTCTCAGTATACATACAGACCTGTCTCAGTATACACATCTGTCTCAGTATACATATAGACCTCTGTGTCAGTATACATACAGTCTCAGTATACATACAGACATCTGTCTCAGTATACATACAGACCTGTCTCAGTATACATACAGACCTGTCTCAGTATACATCTCTGTCTCAGTATACATACAGACCTCTGTCTCAGTATACATACAGACATCTGTCTCAGTATACATACAGGTCTTATTCCCTTATGTAATGCCTGGCTCACTGCTGCCCCCGCTGGCCGCACACACACACTACACTTCCCTATGACATCATGTTTCTTTGTGTTTCCATAAGTTAAATCTCCGTAATCCGTGATGTGTGCATTGTCTCAGCGTGGCAGGATTACCGCCTCCCCCTGTGTAATCTGCGCTCGCTAATGCTACGCGCGCTAGCTCCCGGGACCGTGGCAGCAGCAAAGCATGATGGGAGAGCTGGGGGATGATGCTCTGACGGCCCGGGTCAAAGGGCACTGGACTAAGGGGAGGAACACATGATGCTGATGCGAGTGAAATGAACTGGGTCGAATAGTTATTTTTACTCAGCGAGTGACGGAGCCGTATGTGCAGACAACTATGTTTGTGTATTTATATGTGTGTGTGTGTGTCCGTGTACTTGTATACGTGTGTTTGTGTGTCTGTGTGTGTGTTTAGGCCCTGCAATGACAATATGTCATATTATCTTAATGCTAAAGTATAAGATACTACCACACACTCTCCACAGGCGTCTCTACCTGCCACAGTCAAATTTCTCCGGCTCTGCACCTGTTCCTCTGTGGAAGAATGCGTCACAAACACAACACACTCCACACATGTGAAAAAAACCACGGAAGATGAGGTTGGAGTCAGTCCAAAACAAAGATTTCATTTACAAACACAAACAGAAACATAAATGTATGTGTTGGAGCCGTAGAACCCAAGTTTTAACACAGGTCATGGATCTATAATAATATCTGGACAGAGTATTACTAGTTTATAGTCGTCCCATGGGCACAGGTCGGATTTTGTGGGAATTTTAGTGTTCCTTGTCATCCTGAACTTTTTTCTTTTTTAATCCTTCAATTTTCTATAAATCTACACTTTAACGCACAAAGCTTGGTGCTGTTGCTTGTTTTCTCCCCGCTCTAACGCTGCTCTGATCAGCAGCTCTGATTGGTCAGAGAGCGGCCGAGCCCCTCTGCATGAGAGCCACACACGCGTATTTGCCGTAAAGCATCATGGGAGTTCATCCACTGCACAGAACCGGGAGGACCAGACGATGTCCAAATATGGGCGAGTTCCGCTAATCGTTCGGACCCGGTGGCCGCACATGCACCACTGAGCACAAGCCATTCATTTGAACATGACGCCATCTTGGATTACTGGGGCTTGACACAGGTGTGATGCCTCTCAGCAGCAGGTGAGCCGCAAGCCACGCCCCCTTCACACAAGCCACGCCCCCTGACACACACATGCCAACAATAAAAAAGGAGGCAGAGATAAAACACAGGAACTCAACAATGACAAAAGCTGAGAAAGTATCATTTTAGGTTTTTAACATAGTCTTTTTTCACAACTGACGTGAAAGAAAACTTGGTTTAAAATTATGTCAATGTGAGTAGAAATTGATTTATTGATGATAATCTGTTGAGCTATAGCTATACTAGAGTCAAAGATGAGAATATTTACAGCAGGGAAATAACTGTATCAGTGAATCTCTCTGAAGTGTAAACGTGTGAGTGCAAGTGAAGTTATTTTTCTGTACATCTCTTTTTGATGTTTGGCCGAGTTGTTATTATCCTTCAGGTTCCTTTGTATAGTTTGGGTTCAAATCCTGTGGAGTTTGCATGTTCTACCCGTGTCTGCGTAGGTTTCCTCCGGGTGCTCCGGTTTCCCCTACCACTAAAAACATGCACAATAGGTCTGAATGTAATGAGAGAGTGATGGTGTTTGGTCGGAGGCTTTGATGGTCCAGTGTCCTCAGCGACTCGCATCAGTCATCACCGTGTGGAGAGAATGGAAAACTAAATAAAGCCGTACCTTACCTTAAGAAAAACAATATCCAAATGTCAAATATGTCAAAATACGTAAAGAGTAAAGATAGTTGCAGCTCATCCATTTATTAAACAAACATGACATTTACAGTCTCTTTCAGCACCGGGCAGAAAACTCTCTGCTCCTACACCTGAACTCTAACTGTGGACACCGCAAGAGTTTAAATAATGGGAGTGCCCCAGATGTTAAAGCTGATCTACCTGTTTTTTAACTCATCACACATGAACATGACTGTATTTGATGTTTTTAAAGGTCATATCATTGTGAATTTTACAGTAACAAAACATTTTAGAATTACTCTTTTAAACTCAAGACTTTTTAAACTTTTTTAACACAAAGACCAGTTTTAATGTTTTTAAACTCGGCCGAGGACCAAAATGTCAGGGAGAGAGAGTCGATAGTGAATATTGTACTTTAGCAGCAGAGATTGAGACCTGAATAATAATAAAAACAGCTGTTGCGTTCTAACAGCTCGACAAAGACGGGACCAGAGCTCAGGCAAACAGCACTGAAGGTGGATCGTGACCCAGATCCATAAATATCTCATTACAGCGACAAGAGAGACCTGCACGCCGTCTGTCAGCCAATCACAGCGCGCAACCTTGGCCCCTCGTCCAATCAGCTTCCAGGCTCTTGCACAAACACTCTCTCTCTCCTCTACATTCACACTGTCCCTTACACATGATCCTGAGATTGTTTACATTGTCGTTTTGTGATTTAGAATGTCAGGCTGTAGATCCAGGACTGAGGCTGTAGATCCAGGACTGAGGCTGTAGATCCAGGACTGAGGCTGTAGACCCAGTACTGAGGCTGTAGATCCAGGACTGAGGCTGTAGCTCCAGGACTGAGGTTGTGGATCCAGGACTGAGGCTGTAGATCCAGGACTGAGGCTGTAGATCCAAAAAAACAAACTATGTCCAGAAATAGATCTCAGTGGAATTCAAGCCGTAGGTTTTTATTTCATGGCACACTGATCTCTAACCCTTATCCTTTGAGACCAGAGAGAGACCAGAGACTAGAGAGAGACCAGAGAGAGGTCAGAGAGAGAGACCTACACTGTAAAGAATTTCCTTGTAGAAAAACAGTAAATACTGTAGCTGGCAAATATGGTTCCAGGAATTTACCGTTTTCAAAACATGGCATCACCGTTGCTAATTTTAACGGTTAAAGAATGTTTCACTGAATCACATTATGTCTTTGTGATTTCAGGATTTAACTGTGTGTTCCTGTTTATTCACTTCCTACAAAAATAGCATTAAAATGTTAATTTTGTATACACCATGTGACTGTTTCTGTTTCTAAACAGAATACAGTTTCATTGAACAAAAAACTACAGTTTAATTTGTTTTACTTTAATGAACATAACTTTTCAATTATTTTTTAACATCTTCAGTTTATACAAGAACCTTGTTGAATTCTTTACTTCTATAACATGCTTAATGCAAAAGCATCATTCTATCTAAAGCAGGAGGTGACATGTGTAAGAGGTTCCTTTTACACTCATGGTTGCTCGTTAGCAAAAAATTCCCAGCATTCCAAAAATACAAGTTTAAGTTAAATTACGGTAATAATACCATAAAATCACATTATGTAACGTTTTTTTGTAATCACATTTTAATTGTGGTAATAAAACGGATGTTTTTTAACCAATTTATACTTAAATTTGCATGTTTGAATTGTCAATTTCATTGTAAATATACCGACATTTGTTACAGATTGACCAGAGAGAGAGACCAGACCCGAGAGAGACCCAAGAGACCAGAGAAAGACCTGAGAGAGACTAAAGAGAGAGACCCGAGACTAGAGAGAGACCATCGAGAGAGTCCAGAGAGAGAGACCAAAGAGAGAGACCAGAGAGAGAGACCAGAGAGAGACCTGAGGAGACTAGAGAGAGACTTGAGAGGGACCAGAGAGAGACCAGAGAAAGACCCAAGAGACCAGAGAGAGAGACCCGAGAGACCAGAGAAAGACCTGAGAGAGACTAAAGAGAGAGACCCGAGACTAGAGAGAGACCATAGAGAGAGAGACCATAGAGAGAGACCAGAGAGAGACCTGAGAGAGACCCAAGACTAGAGAGAGACCAGAGAGAAAGTCCAGAGAGAGAGACCATAGGGAGAGACCTGAGAGAGAGACCATAGAGCGACCAGAGTTGAGAGTTGGTGGATTCTTTGCCCTGCAAAATGACTCTTGTGATTTTGGGTGCTACAAAAATAACTGTTTACGAATTATTTAAACCCAATAAACATGTTTCAGTATATTAGGAGTCCCTGAGTTTGGTATCATTTGGAGAACTACTCTCTCGCCTCACATGGTCCCGTTGGGAGGTTTCTCTGCCTCCAGATCGATGCGCTGTCCCTGGTCTTGATTCCTCACGGATCTCACGGCTATTTCAGTCCTGCAGCCAGCGCTAAAATTGGAGCGGCTGCATTTGCAAAGACGTCTGAAGGAGACAGAGCCGTGGGGGAGAGAGAGGAGGGGGAGAGAGGAGAGGAGAGGGAAGAGCAAAAAGAGGAGAAGGGAGAGAGGAAAGAGCAACGAGTGGAGGTTGGAGAAAGGAGGGAGAGGGGAGAGCAAAGAGAGGGGCTATTAGAGGACAGACATGAGAGGGGGGACAGAAAGTGGGAGAGAGGGGAGGAAAGAGACCAGGAAAGAGGAGAGATAAGAGCAAAGAGAGAGAGGTTAGGAGAGGGCAGAGCAAAGGGTGATGGAGAGATGGAAGGTGAGGGGGGGTGTACTTTTTTGAGCCCTGTGCTGGCTCCACATGGGAATACACATGTTTTTGAAGAACACATGAGCTGCTGCCGTCTCTCTGGTATCTCTCTTTGTCTGATCTCTCTCTGCATGGTCTCTCTCTCTCTCTGGCGACTCTCTTGTCTCTTCCTGTTCTCTCTCTTGTCTTTCACTTGTCTGTCTCTCTCGGATCTCTCTGTGGTCTTTCTATAGGCTCTTTGGACTGTTGTGATGTCACATGTATTGCATCAGATTCTGACTGTGTGTGTGTTGAATACTCTCCTCAGGCTGTTTGGAAATGTCACGGTCCCTGCTCTGAGACTGGAGTGGTGTGTGATGTCACATGCTCCACCATCCAGGCCTGTTTACCTGAGCTTTTAGAGCTATTGTGTTCCTATCAGTCCAGTGAATAGGAACACGATAGTCCAGTCTCTGTTCTGTTAACCCTAACTCTAACCCAGAGAGAGAGAGACCAAATGTGGTCTATGTGGTCTCTCTCTGGTCTCTTTCTGGTCTCTCTCTGGTCTCCTTCTGGTCTCTTTTTGCACTCACTCTGGTCTCTCTCTGGTATCGCTCTGATGTGATGTGCGCTGACAGTAAATGCTAAGTGTTTGTGTGATGAGTCAGTGGCACATTTGTCCTGAAGCTGCTGTCTGCACTTGTCACAGCACAGCGCCCCCTCATGGCCACAACACACGAACACACACACACACACAAACACACAGGCCACATACAATTAGTTTAGTTTAGTTTATTCCAAGCCGGTACGATACAACACAAGAAAAATAGAAATACCTTACGATGCTATACAATATTAACATACTTCATTACAACGTGTCCACAAAGAAGAGAAAGACAAAAAAACATCTTGGAATGAAACAATGACACAACATTCGAATTAAAATCACCTTTCTGTTCTTGTGAGGTTTTTTTTTTCTATTCTTCTAATCCTATCTCTGGTTTCTTTCTGATTTTATACTTTTCAACAACACACAAATACACACACAGTGGCACCCACACCCACACACACACACACAGAGGCACACACACACACACACACACACACACACACACACACACAGACACACACAGAGACACACAGAGACACACACACAGAGGCACACACACACACACACACAGAGGCACACACACACACAGACACACCCACAGAGACACACAAACAGAGACACACACACACAGAGGCACACCACACACACACCTACACACGTGACAGAGAAAGGCTTGCACAGATATGTTCCCTTCCTCTCTGATGCAGAGTTATTTTTGGCTGTCAGATGTGACATGACGCGTCTCAATCAGAGGTGCAGCAGAGACCTCACAACACTGCAGCTGACTGATCATAGGAGGTTTCACTCACACACACACACACGCACACACACACCGACACACACACACACACACACACACACACGCACACACGCACACACACACGCACACACACCGACACACACACACACACACACGCACACGCACACGCACACGCGCACACGCACACGCACACGCACACACACACACGGCCCTACTCTTGGGTGTTAGCATTGAGCCAGCAGGTTAGCATTGTCCATTTGTATACAGGCTATTGACAGTATAATCTCAGAGAAAACACAGAGAATTCAGAGAGAGACCAGAAAAAGAGAGAGAGAGAGCGAGAGAGAGAGACAGTGTATGTCTTTCTTTCTGAGAAGAGAGAGATATCAGAGAGAGAAACCAGAGAGAGACCAGAGACAATTACACACAAGAGAGAGACCAGAGGGAGACCAGAGAGAGACCAGAGAGAGACCAGAGAGAGACCAGAGAGAGACCAGAGAGAGACCAGAGAAAGACCAGAGAGAGAGACCAGAGAGAGACCAGAGAGAGACCAGAGAGAGAGAAATACATACCAGAGAGAGAGAGAAAGATAGCAGAGAGAGACTAGAGAGAGAAAGACCAGTGAGAGAGATAGCAGAGCGAGACCAGAGAGAGAAACCAGCGAGAGACCAAAGAGAGATAGAGAGAGAGATGAGCATCTGCATACAGTCTGTGGTCTTCTGTGTAGTGCTTCTGTGGCTCTGCTTCAGGCCTGGATCATGACCCCTGTGCAGCCCTCCTCCTCCACAGGCTTCTTAGACACCTTCTGCATGAAAAACCGGATCAGGTCCTTGATGGTCTGAGGACCCGGGTGGTTGGTGTCGAGCCATGCAGAGACTTTATCTTGGCTCTGCCTCAGCTCCAGGGCCTGTTCAAATCCTGAGGGAAGTACAGCCACAAACACAGAGGTAGAGATGGAGTACACAATCAGACTTATTTTTATTGCCTCTCTCTGGTCTCTCTCTGACTGTTCTTTCTTCTTGGTCTCTCTCCAGTCTCTCTCTCTGGTGTCCCTTGCTCAGGTCTCTCTCTGGTCTCTCTCAGGTCTCTCTCTTCGGGCTCTCTCTCTGGCCTCTCTCTGACTGGTCTTTATTGTTGGTCTCTCTCCAGTCTCTCTCTCTGCTCTCTCCCTCTCTGGTCTCTCCCTCTCTGGTCTCTCCCTCTCTGGTCTCTCCCTCTCTGTCCTCTCTCACTTTTCTGTCTGAAAAAGCTAAATCTAAAGATGAGACAAAACACATAAAAACTAGTGACAGATGCAACTGTTTTGGAGCCAGGGACTATAGAGACCTAGATTTAACTTCATAGTTCTATTGTTCATGGTTAGAAAGTTATGTCCAGCTTTAACCCTGTGCTCCTGCAGACTGTACCTGTGCTCCTGCAGACTGTACCTGTGCTCCTGCAGACTGTACCTGTGCTCCTGCAGACTGTACCTGTGCTCCTGCAGACTGTACCTGTGCTCCTGCAGACTGTACCTGTGCTCCTGCAGACTGTACCTTTGCGCACGTATCGATTGAAGACGTACTCTGTGAGACGCACTTCCCGCCGAGCCCACTCTCTCTCAAACAGACTCTTCCACTCGGCCTTGAACTGGTTCTTCTCACAGATGATTGACACGATGTCTGCACAAAACAATCCTCATCAGTCACTGACCCGGAGTCAGTTTTAGATCCATCCATCCCAAAGCCTGTATAGATTATCTGGTCTCTCTCTTGTCTGTCTCTGCTTTCTCTCTGCATTCTCGCTCTCTCTGGATTCTGTCTCTCTCTCTTGTCTTTCTCTAGTCTCTCTGGTCTCTCTCTCTGGTTCCTGTCTGGTCTTTCTTTCTGGTTCCTCTCGTTTCTATCTCTGGTCTCTCTCTGTGATCCTTTTGAATAATATGAGGGACATGAATAGCATTGCAATATGTTAAAGATTTCAGTAATATTGAATTGTGGCCCAAATATCGCAAAACGTTCGAATCGTCATATGTTTGCTCATTGCTAAGACGCTAACATGCTAACCCCTCACCGAAGGCTCCGACCTCCTTCCTGAAGTAGACCTGCAGCGCGGCCTCCACCACCTCCTCCAGACTCTTCCCCTTCATCTCGTCCCTCAGGATCTTCTCCACCTCCTCACGAGGCTTTTTCACCAGCCCCAGGTCCGGCGAGCTTTTGACTACACACACACACACACACACACACACACACACACACACACACACACACACACACACACACACACACACACACACACACACACACACACACACACAGAAAATCAACCCAATGTCTGCGCACAGAGTATCCTATCGGACTGTTGTGGTAAAAAGGGAGCAGCGTCTGCAGTCAGAGCTTGGGGCAAAGGCCAAAAGGACGATTTCATGAATACAACATGAGTCTCCTCTACGTGTTGCTCCCTTAGAGAGAGGAGGTCAGTCACACGTGAGTAGCTTGGAGTAGAGCCGCTGCTCCTCCACGTGAAGCGGAGCCAGTTGAGGTGGCTCTGCATCTGTTTGGGATGAATCCTGGACGTTGTTTTTAGAACCATCCAAGCAACAACCTGTTTATAGATTCTTCGGTCCCTCTCTCACTTTTCTGTCTGAAAACTGTGCATATTGTACGTGTGTGTGTGTGTGTGTGTGTGTGGGTGGGCATCTGTCTTTGTGTGTGTGTGTGTTTTGCTCACACATGTGGGTGAGGTGCATGCTCGCCACATCCGTAAACTCGTACAGCGGCCGTTCAAAGAACCTGGCAGCGAACTCCTCGATCTCCCACGACTCCCAGGCCCAGAGTCTGTGCAGGACCCCCACCATCTTCATCAGGTCTTCATCTACAGAGAAAGACCAGAGAGAGACCAGAGAGAGACCAGAGAGAGGCCAGAGAGAGAGACCAGAGAGAGGCCAGAGAGAGACCAGAGATAGACCAAAGATAGACCAGAGAGAGACCAGAGAGAGAGAGGAATACAAAAATCAGCAAACAAGCGGAAGGTAAGTAAGTAATAAGTAAAGTTTATATATACAGGGCATTTTACAGACCAAGGTCACCCAAAGCACTTTACCAAGTTCAGAGTTCAGATATTGTTCCAGTTTGAGAGACAGGAAGGCGCAGGAAAGCTGCCAGCAGCCTGTTGCATCGCGCTCCCCCTCTTTTCGCTCCTTTTTCACTTTTTACGCTTGATTTTGTAAATATTTTTGAACACATAGCTACATGAGGCTAATGCCCAGTAGAGTCTTTTCCAACTTTCTCCGTGTTTTTGGGACTGGATTGGACACTATGTGTCTGAGCTGCCCGAGTGTGCCCCGAGTGCCCCGCGCGCCCATTGTCTCGTACTCCAGGGAGAGCTTACTAGCGCTGCGAGGCCGCGTAGTGCTCCCGGAGGACAGACACAACATCCCGGACGAGCTGCTGCTTAAGACGCGCAGGAGCCGCCGCGCTGGGCAGAAAGAAAGAGGGAGAAGGCGAGGATCCAGACCCGCTCTGCCCTCCGTTACCACCGGGAACGTGCGCTCGTTGACCAACAAGGCAGACGAGCTGGCCAGCCTGACGCGTTATCAGAGGGAATATAAACACTGCAGCCTCCAGATCTACACAGAGACATGGCTGACCTCTGATAATCCGGACTCTAATGTGGAAATAGATGGATTTCACATGATCCGGGCGGACCGGACAGCCGCGAGTGGGAAGAGGAGAGGCAGGGGTCTGGCTGTGTTTGTGAATACGGACTACTGCAAGCAGCGCCCTGCACTGTGAAGAGGCAGGTTTGTTGCATAGACATTGAGCTTTTGGTTATTGGCATGCGTCCATACTATCTGCCACGGGAGTATAGTCACGTTATTGTTACAGCAGTGTATATACCCCCTTCGGCCAAAGCTGACAATGCATGTGAGAGCCTCTTTTCCACCATGAGCAGTCTACAAACACAGCACCCACAGGCCTTGTTTATCATCACAGGGGATTTGAATCACGCCTCTCCAGCCTCTACTCTACCATCCGTCACCCAATACATCACCTTTCCCACACGAGGCAGTAAGGGTATTAGTATTAGATAGCAATATGGCCTACGTGCAGGACTGTACAAGGACTCTACAAGGACTCCATGTTATGACTATGATGTGACTGTCTCTTTGTGACACGTATGTCTTTTGATGTGTGACGTGACAATGACTATATAAACTGTGTACTGCCTTTATTCTGTCTGAGAAAAAGAAACAGAGTAAACCAGTGGAACTTGAGAGAAACTTAAATAAACTTCCAGAGTTTGGCACACCACGATCCGTCTCTGTCTGCTTAAATCCTAACAGATTTGGTGGAGAATGCGCGGCTCGGTTTGTGCCATTCTCTGGATTGTTTTGAGGGAGTTTTGCTCTGTTTCTTTTCCTCTGCGTGAGAGATCGGCATGCTGTGTCTGGGAACGGAGATTCCAGCAGGCTGGAAGAGCTGTTCCTGGATGCTTCTTGTCGCTTCTGTCACTTTTGTTGTTTAAATTGAATTTTTCGACGCGGAAAAGATGTTGGTCGACCTCTCGAACAGTCCGGACAAAGAATTAAGGTAAGCAGACACCTTTTTTAATATGTAAAGTCTGCATAATTGGATACTAGCTAAATTTTGAGCTGTCCCGGAGGTCTGTCCAAATCTCTCTAAATCAAATTTTCTTTGTTATGTCTTTGTCACGTCTTTGTCATGTCTTATGTTGTAGAAAACAGGTTAGCTGTGTGGGTAACCAGTCCCTATAGGAAAAAGGAACCCCTGACGTATCGGGGTCCCTGTCCTTTGAAGTAGTCAGGACAGAGAGAAAGGAACCCCTGACGTATCGGGGTCCCTGTCCTTTGAAGTAGTCAGGACAGAGAGAAAGGAACCCCTGACGTATCGGGGTCCCTGTCCTTTGAAGTAGTCAGGACAGAGAGAGAAAGGAACCCCTGACGTATCGGGGTCCCTGCCTTTGGAGTAGCCGGGGCAGAGAATAGAGAATAGAAAATAGTTAGTGAAACCATGGTGTAATAATAAAAGCAATAAAAAGGGAAACGTGTTAAGGAGGCCTTTGTTACAAAAGCTTTGAAATTGACGAATTTCAGGCTGATAAATGACAAAAGTACATAAGCAACATGACGTTTCGGGGTCCCTGACTTTGGAGTAGCCGGGGCAGGAGAGAAAAAGGAACCCCAGACGTATCGGGGTCCCTGCCTTTGGAGTAGCCGGGGCAGAGAATAGAGAATAGAATATTAGTAAATACATGGTGTAATAATAAAAGCAATTTTTATAAGGGAATTCGTGTTAAGGGGGCCTTTGTTACAAAAGCTTTGGAAATTGACGAATTTCAGGCTGGATAAATGACAATAAGTTTAAAGAACGACTTCAGTCTATATGTGCTTAGCAAAAGTATTCTTGAAAAGTTATTTTCTGTTCTTTCTGCCTTGTGCGTGTGCGTCGGCACTTTCTGCTGCACGTTGTCAGGGGAAAACGGACCCCACCTTCGCTGCTCTGGCTGTGAATCTGAAGCAAAGCTACTGCATTAGGATTTTGGCTGTTCATAGTAGGTTATTCGTTAATATTTGACGAAATCTGGCCATTGAACATTGTGATAGAACAGATAAACGTTTTTAAACACCATTAGTGAGTAAGTTTTGAATATCATATGTTTTTTGAAACCCAAATATTAGTGCTAAAAGCTGTGCAATTCTTTTTAGACCTAACATATTTCTAGATTCCATTCTTTTAAATCTGCTGCTTATTTTGTGAGTCCATTATTGTATCTGATATTTCATAGCTGTTAGTGAGAATTTTTTTATGTTTTTATTTTAGTTACAAAAGCCGTTTTTCAAACATTTAAATTAGAATCTGTTAAAAGTGATTAATGATTGTAGACTTCGTCTAAAAAAGAAAGAGGGAATTAGGCTGTAAAAGTATTATATTATTAAGTTAAACTACCCAATTCACATGCAAGTGGTGACTTTTGTTTTTGTTTTGACTACACGCCTGACCTTGTTGCTCCTGCTGATGCCACAGCAGAGGAGACTGGTCTAAAATGTGCTCCAATTCATACTGACTTCATTTGAAAAATGCTGCAATTATTTTAAATTAGTAAATATATGCTGAGATAAATGCACAGATAATTAAACACACAGTACAAAAGTACATAATACATATTTTAAAGTTTAAGAAGGTTTAAGAGATTTGAGTCTTGTTTTTTATATTGAGAGTTTCTGGTTTTAAATGTCATCATTAGTAAGATAATAAGTAATCTTTTATTTACATAGCGCTTGGGAAAACCCAGAGCGCTTCAAAATTGTTTTGACTTTAGGGAGAAAAACAATCTCATTCACAAATCTCTGTTGTTTTTAATTTGACTATAAGGTTGTTTTCCAGAACCAAGAGCACACACTGTACAGGGTCACTGGACTGCTGGACACTGGACAGCGCAAAGCCCACCCAGCCACAGGTCACAGATCAAAGAGCAAAGGGAAAATGCCACCTCCTTGCCCCTCCCCCCACTACAGAAAAGTAAGTGGGAGTGAGACCGGGGCCATGAAAGAGAGGTATCTGGAGACGTGATGGGTGGAGCATCAGGGAGAGACCTGAATGAGAGTTGAGAGTGTGTCCAGTTGGTTTACATCACCACAGTGTGACCTTTGACACCTACAGGTGGTTCGAGGAGTCTTGAGAAACAAACCCCAAAATTCACATTCACACATACACACACACACACACAACATACATTCATACACACACACACATACACATTTACATATAGATACATGAAAAAGCAGAACATGAGAAAAAAAGCATTAAAAGTTTACTCCAATGTAAACACATATTTTTAATTGTCTATCACTTGAATCTTTAGTTGAATCTGTATTTTTGAGACCAGAAATGTTCATTTGAATTCTATATTGTCATGGACTTAATTGACCTCTGTCCTGACACTTTTGATGTTTTGATTTTGTACTGTGTGAAGTAATTACATTGATGAGAATTAGATCTGATAAAAACACAAATTAGAGAAGTAAACTGCGCTTGCTTTTTGTCTGAGGGACATTAGCAACAGCATGAATAGAAATTGTGTTAAAGTAGAATCAAAATGACTTAACCATAGAGAGTAACTATTGCATAACAAGCTGTGTACAGGAACTGAGACACTGCACCATTGACCAGAAGTGCATCGCAAATGACCTGATGTGCTTCAACTGAAAAGACTGTATCTGGAGATCTGATGTGCATCTGGAGACCAGAACCAGAACCATGGCTTGGACCCTACTGATGTCCAAGATGACATCTCTCTATGTGGCCTGACCTGATGACGACTGAGACTCACCCTCAGGGGACCTGAGGACCTGAGGACCTGAGGACCTGAGGATCTGAGAGAGAAAAAACTGGGGAGTGATGTTTATATTATTGAAATCATACATTGATGAGTGCTAAATGAGAGAGATACTTCATGATTCTTCTTTTGTTTTTGTTTGTCCCTAGCTTCTGGACATCTGATGATCTATTGGACACAGCGATTTGCAGAACAAGAACCAGCCAATGAAAAACGTCTATTGCCGATGCTATTGCTACAACCAGAAAACAAAACTGTGACAAATGCAATATACATGTTAAGTATTCAGACATCTGACAGACAAAAAATTTGACTTTTTTAGTCTGGGAGACTGAGCCAACAGTTAAAAATGTTTGAAAATGATAAAGTATGAGTATTGTAGCGTTTTAGTAGATGTTAAATAGTAGTTAAAAAAGTAGGAATTTGACTTCCTTTGCTTGTTCATAAACATATTTACACGTTAAGAGTTAAAATAGTACCCTACATTGTATCCTTTTG